CGGGTGCCAGCCCGAGAGAGGTTGGGCCCAAGGCCTGCTACTAATGAGCCTCCGCCAGCAGAATCCTGCTCCCGCAGGCAGGCACGACAGCAGTCAGTCACCCGGAGGTCGCCGAGCCGCGGACCCCGGGCCCCGCCGCGACAAGAGGTAGGCCCGCAGGGGTCACCAGGACGGGGGACCCGAGTCCCGCCTCGGCGTGCATAGGCCTCCCGGTTCGAACGATCAGGGGAAACAAATGGTAGAGCTCCGAGCTCCCATCGGGTAGAGGTCGAGCAGCTGCGGAGGAGGATGGATGAGCTCCAGAGGAAGTTCGACGAGAGGGACGGATCCCCGGAGCCCCAGGATGTGTTGTCCTCCCCGTTCGCAAACGCCATCATGGAGGAACCCTTACCTCGAGATTTTCGCTTTCCCACCATTAAAGCGTACTCAGGGACCACGGACCCACGGGCACACCTGACCAGGTACAGAGCCGCCATGATGATCACCGAGGCAACAGACGCCATCCTGTGTACGGGGTTCTTCGCCACCCTGGACGGGCAGGCGCATGACTGGTTCGGATCCCTCCCGGCGGGGTCCATCTCCACCTTTGCGGACCTCACCCGACAATTCCTGTCCCATTTCGCCACCAGCATACAGCGGAAGAAGCAAATCGCCGACCTGTGTGATTTGAAGCAGGGGAGCTCGGAATCACTAGCCGAGTACCTCAGCAAGTGGAAGAAAGAGGTCATGGGGGTCGCCGACTTCGATGCGAAATCGGCCATGGTAATTTTCTGGAACAACTTGAGGTCGGGCGCTTTTCACCAGGACCTCATCAGGTACCTCCCCAGGACCTACACCGACCTGATGGACAAGGCAGCAAGGTACGCTGACGCCGAGGCTGCCGAGAAAAGGAAGAAGGAGCAGGAAGAAGGAAGAGGTCGAAAAGACAAGGCACCCCAGGAGGAGCGCAAGGCGCCCCGACCACACCGGCGTGAGTACGCTGAGGGGCCCAGGATGAACCCCACACGCTATCTCACCCCGCTGACACAACCCGTGGGTACTATCTTGGCGCATGCGGAGGACCAGGGAATCGTGGTATTCCCGAAGGAGGAGTGCATGAAGATATCGACGAGGGGGAACCCCAACAAGTACTGCAGGTTCCACCGGCAAAAAGGACACGATACAGACGAGTGCATCCTCCTGAAAAGACAAATTGAGCAGCTCATCCAAATGGGCTACCTCGGCCAATTCATTAAGAAGCCCGGCCAGGCGCCGGAACAGGCCCAGGGCCAGAAGCAGAGCAATGTATGGCGGAAGGGGGGTGGCCAGGCGCCATCCACCTCGGCTCCTCCCCGCAAGAGGGACCACCACGACAACAGTTCCGAGGAGGAGGAGAAGACGACAGAGGACTCCCAGCCCTCGAAGAAACGGGCCATCTACGTTATCTTCAGGGGGCCCGAGGGAGGGGACTCGCCAGCCGAGCGGAAGAGGTGGGCGATGAGCTTGTACGTGGGAGAGGTCACACGTACCCCCCATGAGAAGAAACCAAAGAGGGAGCCCATCACGTTCACCGACGCCGACCTGCCAGATGGGCCCCTCTCCCACCGAGACGCCCTGGTGGTCAAGCTGGACATCAACAACGTGGTGGTGCACCGGGTACTCGTAGATACGGGTAGCTCGGTGAACGTCATGTACTACGACACGTTCACCCAGCTGGGACTCTCAAGAGGGCAGCTGGAGCAGGTACGCACCCCCCTGTCCGGGTTCACGGGGGACTCAATTGAGACGGAGGGGTCGATCAGTCTGGAGGTAGAGATAGGCACCCCACCTCACACCAGGAGGTGGGAGGTCGAGTTCGTAGTCGTGAAAATCAGCTGCGCCCACAACATAATACTCGGTCGACCCGCCCTGGAGGACCTCAGGTGCATAATTTCCATGGAGCACCTGTGTCTCAAGTTCCCGACACCGACCGGGGTCGGGGTCGCCCGGGGGGACCAAAAGGTAAGCCGCAGCTGCTACTTGAAGGCGTGCCGCCAGATTGGTCAAAAGGACCTCCAGGTACATACCATCGCCATGAAGGCATTTCAGGAGGAGGTAGGTCGACCTCGACCTCAGCCGACCCGACCGGGTTGTGAAGGTAGGGGTCGGCCTCCCGGCCGAGCTCCGGGCACGGATAATCAACACCATCAGGAGCTACAAGGAGGTCTTTGCATGGGGTCCCGAGGATATGCCGGGCCTCAGCCGAGACGTGATCACACTATCCAAGCTCGCCCAAGGGGCCCCGGAACATATCTCCAAAATAGCCCGAATTGAAGATTTCAAGAGGTCGAGCCTGGACGCCTACCCGGTCCTACCCGTGCAAATCCGACCTCCCTGCTGGTTGGACCACCTCATGGAGTACAAGAAGACAGGCACGCTACCTCCCGACGAGGTCGACGCCAAGCTGGTGAAACGGCGAGCCCCCACGTACGTGGTCATTGGGGACATACTCTACAAGAGGTCCTATAACGGCGCCTTGCTGCGCTGCTTGTACCCAGACGAAGCCAGGTCAGTCATGGAAGAAATCCACGAAGGGACCTGTTCAGCCCACCAGGGGGCCTTCGCCATGTCCCGAAGGGCCATCTTACAGGGGTACTTTTGGCCCAAAATGGCCAAGGAGTGCGCCGACTATGCCCGGGGTTACGAGACCTGCCAACACTTCCAAGTCACCCCCGGCCGGCCAGCCACGAGCTACACCCCCATCAGCTCGATCATCCCCTTCTCCAGGTGGGGAGTGGACCAAGTGGGAGCTCTGCCCATGGGGTCGGGAAAAAGGAAGTACCTCATAGTAGCAGTGGACTACTTCACCAAGTGGGTAGAGGCGGAACCGCTGGCAACCATAACAAGTGCCCGTTGCAAGCACTTTGTGTACAAAAATATTTTGTGCCGTTTTGGGGTCCCGATGCAACTCATCACCGACAACGGACGCCAATTCGAGGGGCAAGAGTTCGAGGGGTTCTGTGCAGAATGGCACATTACTCACAGCCGGTTAGCAGTGTGCTACCCTCAAGCAAATGGCCAGGTGGAAAATGCCAACCGCACCATTGTGGGCGGCCTGAAAAAGAAACTGGAATCCGCGGCGGGACCGTGGGTGGAGGAGCTCGACGCCATTCTTTGGGCCTACCGCACCACCCACCGGAGGGCTACTAGGGAGACACCTTTTTCCTTAGCCTACGGTTTCGAAGCCCGAGCTCCAGCGGAGGTAGTCATACCTTCCCGGCGGGAGGAGGACTACGACCCTGACACGAACGAGGAGCACCAAAGAATTGACCTCCACATGATTGATGACAGGCACGAAGCAGCCGCGATTCGAGCTGAAAACTACCAGAGGCAGACCAAGGCATACCACGATAAGCGGGTCCGACCCCGCTACTTCCAAGTAGGTGACTATGTGCTCAGGAGAAGGGAGGCGAGCCAGCCCCAAGCCGGAGGAAAATTTGCCCCTAATTGGGAGGGCCCGTACATTATAGCAGCCGTGGTCCGCCCGGGCAGCTACAAGCTCAAAACTCCCAAAGGAAAGATTATAGCCAGGGTCTGGAACTCAGAGCACCTGCTGAAATTTTACCAGTAGACCTTCCACGTGAGAGGTGGGTCTTGGCGTTGCTATTCTAGGAGGGAGACCATTCCCCTCCCCTAATACTGTCTTAGTAAGCGGCAATAGTCGGAATAAAATCGCATATTACAGAACACATTATGCGCAGGACCTTTTTGTTACAAAGTTGCTCACTCATGTCTTCCCCCCCCCCCCCCCCCGCCCCCGCGGACCCTAAGGGGGCACGAGGTCCGGCCTCGCGAACTAACCCTGACGGAGGACGCACCCTAAGGGGGCACGAGGGACGACCTCGCGTACCAACCCCGACAGAAGAGCCCGGTGGCACAGTCCCGTCGGACTGTGCCCGAGCAGCTAACGCGCACCCTAAGGGGGCACGAGGTCTAACCTCGCGTACAAACCCCGACGGAGGAGCCCGGTGGTTTGGTCCGGCAGGACTGGGCCCAAGCGGTTTGGCGCACCCTAAGGGGGCACGAGAGCAACACGTACCCGGGGGACCACGGAGGTGCCCAAGAGCAACGCGGACCCGGAGCACCATGGAGGTGCCCCGACCCGAGCCGACCTACGTGGAGCTCGGGTCGGGGAGCTCGGTCCTACCCGAGCTCGGCACCACCCGGGCTCGGGACCCGACCCGACCCGGTCCACCCGGGCCCGGTCAAACTTGAGATCTAACCACCCCCGATTTAAGGGGGGCGGTTGGGGGGTTTGCTTGTATAAAAACCCCCCTCCTTGTCCTAGCAAAGGGCAATTCATTCCACATTATACGATTATTACACACTTTGTCCCAGCGAATCTTTGTAATAGCCAAATACTACGGCAATTAATATAATATACGGTCCTCAGCGACCTTTACAACATCGTTTCATATTTCGTTTATTATTTATTATATTACGTTCTTATCCGGATTTATTGATTTGGATCTACCCCGGGTTAATTAAATCCATCAGAGTGGAACCCAAGAAGATCGATCGAATAGTTTAAAGACTGTAACTTTTTGGTATAATTTGTTGGAAATCCACACTTCTAAACAGAGGAAATTCTTGCTTGGAGTGATGTGGGGAGTGGGTTGAATGATTTGGAGTTGAAGAACTATATATAGATGCAGATGTTTGTATAATACTGAGTAGTGAGTATTATATATATATATATATATATATATATATATATATATATATATATATATAATACGTCTGCACAGTGTAGTGACAGATGCATGCACCAGCTAGCTCCTGCTAAGCTTTTTTAACACTTTACTTAAAGATTAAAAAAAAATTATTATTATTATTATAATATATGTGATGCCATTGGTGTATTTGATCTTATTGTGTCAGCAAGTAAAGAGTGTTTACCGACCAAATTAACATTTAATTACCCGATATTGGCTAGGATTTACCTAAAAGCCGGTAGCCGCTACCTAGTGTACGTGTTGTGGATGAAGTCTGCCCTTCAAGATTTACCTACATTCGTTGATCCAAATACATGGAAAACGTACGTGGAGCGGCGTAAAACTGCAGAGTTTGAGGTATATATTATAATTTTTCTATCAATTATTTATTAACTCAAATATATTAAAGATATATATTTTTACTTAATGTTTTCTTTTTGTGTAGGAATCAAGAAAGAAACATCAAGAAATACGGAGTACGAATGTTCATCCACATCATTTAGCCCGAGGAGGTTATAAGAGATTGGAGAAGATTATGATGGATGAGAAGATGAAAGAACAAGAAGAAGCTGCAAGATCAGATCCATCGTCAGTAGTTGTTCCTCCATCTCCGCCAGCTAGACATGAAAAGTGGAAGAGGGCAAGAATGAACAAATCAGGAAATATCAACAAAGAAGAGACTAGAATGGTCGTGGAAAAGATTGTAAGTGAAATGTTAAAATTTTCTACATTACTAAGATAGCTAGTAATCATTATTAAATATTGTTTTTATATGTTAGGATTTGCTATCACTGCAAGCTTCTCAAGGAGAGTTTGTTGAGTCCGGTACACAAGATATATTGTCTAGTGCCGTAGGTACAGATGAGCATTGCGGACGTGTTAGAGCCATGAGTAGAGCACATGGCTTAAAAAGCTACTTTGGTCATGCAAAACGTCGTCAAAGCCAGTCTACACCACAAGTGAAAGATATGATTAAGAAGCAGTTGCTGAGGCGTTAGCGGTTGCCCGAGAGGAATATGAAACATCCTTGCAAGCAGCCATTCGAGAGATGGGGGATGAAATTAGTAGTATGAGGACTCCAGCGGCTCAACCTGTACCATCAAGGCAGGAGGAAGACATGCGTGTAGCTGTCCAACCACATGGTCATAGTGAAAAAGCAAGTTCTCCAGACCCTTTTGCTGATTTACCGGCCTTAAGTAATCATTTATAACTAATCTTATTATTTATTAAAAACATTTTACCTATTTCTTAATATGAATTCATGCAGTTAGGAGCCGGATGTGAATTGTATTTGGAAGATCCCATTAGATGTAAAGTTGCACGTGGGATAGTTTACAAGGCCGAAAGGGTTCACGGGATACAAATACATGCGGATCAAGTGAAGGTCACCGTGACTGAAATTCTCATGTCTAGTGCAAAGGTACCCTTCCCTACCGATGAGGTTCAACTGTTAAGGGATGCATTGCACAGCTTTATTATTTGGCCAAAGAAGTTGGTTGAGTTGTATACCGAAGCTGATGAGGTATGTATTTTAAAAAATTTTAGATTTTAAAATAGTGTTTAATTTACTTTTTAAAAATAGTAATTGTTACTTATATTGAACAGGTACAAATGACTTATGATTCCGGTGTGCAACGACCTTTTGCTGATCTAAATATAGCTGATCCGACTTCTTTGAGTGCTCGATGTCTAAAGGTATATAAAATTATTCGCAAACTTGACGAAAATGTTGTGATAAAGATGGAGCGTGGTATTGTGGGCGATGTTGACTATCCCTTACAACTTGACCCGTTGGAGATTATGCGTTTCTTAAGGATGGAGACGTTAGATGTTTCCATATTGCAGTTCTTTATAAGGTAATAATTAAGTTCTTTACTTATATTTGTTTATATAATATTTTTCATTTCATCTATTATATTACTAATATATATTATTGATTGTACTTTTGAATAGGGGTCTTTATGGCAAATTTGATTTGGCATGAAAGACCACATATGACTTCTTAGATCCACATTTCATTCAACCAATTTCGAATTCTATAGATGAACGGACAGGGTATATCAACGTCACCCTGCAATATGGCAAAAAACAATGCTATCTAGCGCCATATATTTTAAAGTAAGTTTTAATTGTTTAAAATAAAATAACTTATATATAATAAACTTTTATTATATATTATATTTACTTACAACTAATACATTATTGATTTGTAGTGATCATTGGATGTTGATGGCAATTTGTGCTCAACTTAATGAAATCTATTGGATTGATTCAATTGGAGGCCAGCCACGTGATGACATCAAAGATATTGTTGAAAAGTATGTAAACTTATAAGTATTAATATATATAATTAATAAAGTATAAAGTATTTATGTAAACTAATCTCTTATAATTTTAGGTGTGTCAATTCAGCAAAGTTGTTGAGAAGCAATGGATCAACTCGTTCACCAAAATGGACTAAGGTTTGGGTAAGTATTTTATACATTTGTAAAACTACATATATTTTATTGTTTTTTATTAAATAAAATTTTAAATGTAATTTAATTCAAATGTAGTGTGCTCAACAAGTTGGAAGTACGGCATGTGGATATTATGTGATGAAATACATGCTTGAAATTCTTTCCAAAGAAGCATGTGCGGGAATGGATAAGGCATGTAATTTAATATAATACCTTTCTCTTTCTAATTTTAAAAATGCTAGCTTACTAATTATTTAATAATTATCAACTTTGTAGATTGTTGAGAGAGTTGGTAGATCGAGCCACACTCAACAAGAAATTGATCAAGTAAGAGACGTATGGGCCGACTTCTTTGTTGATGTATGGTTAAGTATGTAAATTGAACAAATTGATATTAGCTTTTGATAATGTTAACTTGTATTATTAATTAGTATCAAATTGTGAGATTTATTACTTTTATTACTTGTTTCATTATAAATATTAGATTCTACATATTTTGCTGTGGTTGTGGTGCAATAATTGAGCAGGTTTTGGTTGTGGCTGTGAGAAATTGAGCAGGTTTAGGTTGTGGTTGTGGTTGTGAGTAGATTTGAGCAGGTTTTTGGGTATAAATGGACAAATAAACTGTATATTAAAAAAAAAACATAAAACGTCGGCTATTAAGTAATAGCCGACGTTGAATATATTTAAAAAAATAAATAAATAAAGTTTACAACGTCGGCTAATAGCATTTAGCCGACGTTGTATAGTATTTTTAAAAAAAATTAAAATACTTACAACGTCGGCTAAATGCTGCTAAATGCTAATAGCCGACGTTGTAGGTATTTTATAAAAAATTAAAATACCTACAACTTCGGCTAATAGCATTTAGCCGACGTTGTAAATATTTTAATTTTTTTTTAAAATACTATACAACGTCGGCTAAATGCTATTAGCCGACGTTGTAAACTTTGTTTTTTTTTTTTAAAATAATATATAACGTCGGCTATTTATATAGCCGACGTTATAGATAATATATACAACGTCGCCCAGAACAACTTCGGAACATAGCCGACGTTAAAAGCTCTATTTAGCCAACGTTAAAAGCCTGATGTGTAGTAATGAAACCTATAACTTGCTTTTGCAACACAATCTTACTTGTCCTCATATGGGACAGTAGGGTAAAAATATAACGTAACCAATTTGGGACTTGGCATCATATGGATAAAAAAGAGCCAGTACCCAGGTAGCCCATCAAAACCACATATGGGTTTCTCACGTAAACCTCAAAATCTTTGTTCATCGAAAATGATGGAGGATATGTTAAACATCATTCCAATTCAATATTTCATTGTAGAGGGAAGCACTAAATGTTGCTAGCAATGATGTAATGGACTTCTAGTTCAATAATAGTGCTCCAGTAGCAATGAAGTAATGGACTTTCAGTCCTAAAATATCCTCATTATCATCTTCGAGTCTAAATGGTCCTTTATCTACTTCAAGAGATTATTCGACAATCATTTGTGTGATAAGTAAATAATACTTATCCATATAAAATATCTTCAAGACATTTTTCAAGTAGGCTAACTATTGTATAAAACTTCTTCAAGGAGAAGCTCGATCTTCAGGTCGAGACAATACTTGGATTTCCAAGTCTTTTATTTCAAAACTCCATCTTTTGGCATGAGCTGATATCACCAAGCTCTCTATGTGTTTTGATAATATTTAAACATCAATATCGACTGAGATGATAAATAAATAACTCCATTAGCAATTCGTTAACGAACACATAATGGTACTTATTATTTGCAAATTCCTTCTTTGGGAGGAAAACACTTAGTCAATAATATTCAAGTTATACAAAGACTTGGTAGTTTAATGATACACGTTGTGATTTTGACTTTCCTTATTTCAAAAGTGTTCAATCCATCAGGGATTTACAAATAAATATTAGCGTCTAATGACCCATAAGTTTGTTGGTCATGACGTTTGATAGTACTAATTCCCACGTGTATGTACTGTATGTAATATGAATGTGTATGAACAAGAAGAATATAGAGTAAAGTGGGTATTTTATTCATATATGTTCTTCTGTATTTTTGTAGAGGGAAGGGGGAGAAACATAGCTTAGAGAGAGAGAGTGGGATCATGGAGAATGAACCAAAAGTCCCTTAATTAGTGGGCTACAAGCCCTTTTATAGGGTCAAGGAGGTGACGGGTTTGACCCATCTCGGGTTTTGACCCGTCACCTTTGACCCCGACCCGTAGGTCAAAATCCGAACCGCTCGACCCGACCCGACTATAAACGTTAGTTACGGACATGGGGTATATAACCTATCATGAAGCCCCCCCAGCCCGTGTCTTGACGACGAGTTAGCGAGGAAGGGTTCGGGCTGGAAAAAACAGGTTACACGGTCCGTGACATGTGCCGGTTGCCTCGTTAAAAACCTTAGGCTAACAAAAAATCCAGTGGGAGAAAAATTTTAGCCAAGGGAAAAGAGTACAACGCTAAACACAGTCTGGTTGACTAAAAAAGGTTGCCCGACCAAAGGGTCAGACTTGCAACGCGATTTGAAAAAGGTCGAACTCTGCCGGTCCAACGTCTGGACTGTTGAACGTGACCGGGTGGTCGAACTAATTGCGAAATGGAGATCTATTGTACCAATTACGGGATTGGATTTGCTTACGATCGAGGTACTAGATTTACTCGGGCGAAACAAACGCGACTCGACCAAACGAACGAGCTAAGCGCTTTTGGCAACACTAACGCAATTCGACCAACGAACGAGCTAAGCGCTTTGGTGAGACAAACGCGACTCGACCGATATGCTCGGGAAAACGAACGTGATTCGACCAATGCACTTAAAATGAACACATGTTTAAATAAATTGAATATACTAAAAAACGGACATTTAGTGCACAAATAACTTGCAGCGTACTAAAAATAAACTTGTACCAGGATTTACGTCGTAGGTTGAATTCCAAATTTCCAGGGTCCATTATATAATTTGCCCATCTTAGGTGTTGGCCAAATACCTTTTATGAGTCACGAATCCCGGACCTTTCATCAAGGCGGGTCAAGGTTTGGGTTTGACTTATTATTATTTATATATTATATATATTATATATTCAACATGTATGTTACGTGTGTGGGCCAACATACTTTTTGATGAGTCAGGAACCTATGACTTTCATTTGAATTTAGCTCGGGATTTGGCTCTGATATGAACTTGGTGGCATTTCGTCTCAATTAAAGTCTAAATTAATAATTTGACTATATATTTATGATTACTTACTCTGTATATGTTATGTCCTTAACATGGTCAAGCTAAGTCTATTGATGTATTGCAGAGAATCTTTTTAGAGTATAAACAGCCTTTTGCAATAACATATCTCGGGATCTCTCTTATGGTCATCTACTTGCCCATAGCACTTTGTAAGGATTGGATTAGCAGAGTATTGGGCATGAATTCATTCCAAAAACTTCACAATGATAATAATCCTCTCTTGGACTCATCAAGCCTACATGTTCCCCTTAGAATGAATGAAATCGAACAGAA